GGCCCTTATCACGTGGTACACATTCAACCTAGAGAGCCCATTGAAAGGAGTTACGATGAAAATACAGAAAAACATATAGCAATGATGATCACGTTTTAAAATCACGATTTTGAATGAAATTTGCTAATCTGCATATAGGCTTGAATACAAGTGTCACGGTTTACTCAACTTGATACACTCATGAACTAAAACTGCAGTGTTACTAAATGCATATTAAACAAGTTAGTATAGTATATCAGATAAGCGACCCATAGTTCAATTTTACCCCCCCCCCCCACTCCCAAAAGTGTTTACAGGACCAATGGTTTGGGTTAGTGCTATATTTTATTTAGATATGATTCTTGACTTGACAGTGTGCTAGCCATTTTGCATGGAAGTACCCTCGAATCCAATATGACACTGCAGAAAATTAATAATGACATATTGTCAGCATGTTTATTCCACAGTTATATCTTTTATATAGCAAAGATGGCTATAGCCCTGGAATCTGCATGAGCACATAGATGTTTATGAAGAATGAAGAACACGGATTTTTGTTTCCAAATAGGGGTGTTTATAAGTCATCCTTTTATAGTACAATAGGCCAAAATGTCTGATTTTCGAGAGTTTAAATTTTAAAGATCATAATCTCAAATCTTCCAAACTAAAAAAAGAATCTCTAGTATATTTTATTATTCAAATGGATCATACATCATGCCCATGTTAATTTTGATTCATTTATAAAAAAGAATTTGTGTAGCAAATTACTGTAAATATATTATACACAAACCCTGTGTCATCAACTTCTATAGCCCCTAATTGTTGAGATGTCAGATGCAATGAAAGTCACTTCGAATGTTTAAATCTTAAAACGAATATCATACTTTATTGTTCAAATTGATGATAGCACATCATGTCCTATTCTGACCCAAAAAATCTGTGCCATTTAAACATAGACCAGGGTCTATGATTTAAACAACATCAAGAAATACTCAATCAAATCTCTAAAACAAAGAATGCATAAACACGTTTTAAACGATTTAAATTTTACAGATTTTAGTTTCTGAATTGCATACACTCGTCATTATAACTTATGGAAGGCAAGAATGTATTTAGAATGAAATGAATTCAATAAAATTGACAATACATCTCATTACATTTATATCTTCCAAACTTCAGTGTTATTACTAGTACAGTAGGAATTATATATTTTCTGAAATTCAACATTTTTGATTTTCAAATGTAATTAAGACATTGACATTGACTGTACAGGGACAAGCACTCTGTACTTTCCTTCGTCAACATCATAGATGCAAACTACAGAGTCAATCGTGTTTGTTTAAAAGATGGTATCTTTAATAGTTGAGATGCCAATAAATACCCTTAAACATGTCTTTTTAGCCAGCATGTTATTTTAGCTAATTTAGCTAAACTGTAATTTCACTAATTCAACATGTCGCTTATTTAGAATAAAGTATATTCTCGCATTGCGATTGTTGGCACTTTATCGAAATTAAGATTCTCTTAAACTATGCATTGAGTCAAATTCGCTAGAATGGCATTTACCTATTTCAACGGTTAATAAATATTCACAGTATAGAAAACAGTACAAAAAACAAGACAAGTAAGATAAGTATTTGATTTATTTGAAGTGTTTCATAACAGAAGCATACATGAACCAGCAATCAATGGGAATTAGTTTGTGTACAAGTGCAAGGATAGGTGTCTATATACTTCTGAATATTTACTTGACTTGGGTTTTATTTTTTATGAGCTTCTGCCCTCTAACATTTTGTACAAGCAAGGGCAAGTATCTACTCGCTACTTTAGAAAAAATAATTCCAATAATAAAAACAATGTATTGACAATCACAGTTGGTCAATAAATAATTTGATATTTCTCCGAAAGAAATGTGAGACAGATGACATTCTCCCTGATGACAAGATATATGATGAGATTTGTGTTATATATTCCTACAGTCGTGCAGAAAGCTGATACATCTCAGCCACTCACTCCATCGGTGACATAATAGCTAGCCCTGAATCCATGACATGATAGGAGTGTGAGATATTCACATACAATCCACGGCTGCCCAACAAAACACCTAATGTCTCCTAATATATTAAAAAAAAGTGATCGTTTTTATGCACTCCCTTATATTATATTTCAAAGAAATATAATATTGACGAACCAAAAATAAATTCTGGTCTTAGTGAGCAGCGGAGCCAGATGGGTTTCCTTCATTTGGGTGAAGGCTTTGACTGGAAACGGCATTAAGGAAATTAAAGAGTTATTATTATAACGAACAACATTGATTCAATTCAAGCTGTCCATATCCGCACAATAATACAACAGATGAAGACTAGAAATTCACCATCTATAATTCCTATATAATTACTTATTGACATAGTTGGATGGGTGGAAATACAGACAGACAGACAGACAGACAGACAGACAGACAGACAGACAGACAGACAGACAGACAGACAGACAGACAGACAGACAGACAGACAGACAGACGAACAAACGGATGGACAGACAACTAGAGTAAATTATCAGTTTATGCTCAAGGTTAAAAGGATACATTGCTGAACTTAGTTGCTCAAGCTGAAATTCAAAAAACAAACAAAACAATAGATTGTTATATCTACAGCATTTTTGTCACATGTGCCCTTGCTATTATGGATACCAATGATACAATGAGTTTATGCCAGTGATCTTTTGACCCAGCACAGACTGAAATTTCTGAACAAGAACACAAAATAAACTTACATTTAGTAGTAGTTGCTCCATGTGTTCATTTGCTGCTTCCTTAGCTTCATCTGAACCTAGTCTGAGGATTAGAATTAGTATTAAAAAATGGTATCTCACAAGCAGCCTCTCGGCTGAAATAGCTCCACTGTTAGCAACACACATTTCACTTAAGAACTGAAGATATCATTAGAAAATGAACAATATATATAATATCAAAGCAATTGGACTTGCGTTTTTTTACAAGAAGTCAAAAATATTACTTTTTTACCAAAAATGACAAAAATATTCACCAAAATTAGAGAATTAAAGATATCATCACGAAATGAACAAATCTGAGAAAGAACCATCCAAGGTACTTGCATACCAAATTTGAAAACATTCTGACTTGTGGTTTCGAAGAAGTTGAAATTGTAAAGCTGACAACGACGGACGCCGGACAATCAGTAATATGAACAGCTCCACTGTGTTGACTTTGTCGACAGCGAAGCTAAAAATGCTTTTTTCTCTCAAATTTGGTATTATTACCACACACTACAAAGCGGAAAGATGTATGACGGGAGAACTGTATTACCAGAATATCATAAAATATTGACTCAGGCAGTCCAGGATGGTACTGATCTTCGATAGATGTTAATTGCATCTAGATACATATAACTAGAAATTAATGTTTCAATACAAAATAATCTGTTGGAGATCTACCGTAGGTGCTGTTTACATATGCATAGCCAGATGCCTAGGTGTCATTTAAATATGCATAGCCTATATATCCTAAAATTTTACTTCATGGGTACTAAGAACTACATAAATTAACCTATATTAACAGTAAAACCTGTCTAAACAGAAAACTGTGTTTCCTGAAAATTTGAATACAAGACATGGGTCTCAACATGATGACGAAATGCTGATATTTGAGCACTTCAATAATGTTCCTATGGTAACAGATTTCATTACTACTATATCTCAAAATTAAAACTAAAACAAAAATAAAATCATATCTTATATCATATTAAGGTAGCGATAAGGGTTAGATGACGTTGACTCATTCGGAACCGTAATTTAGCTTATATATTTCAAAAGCTTAAGTATAGAGATACAAGTTTGCACAAATTACAATAATTAACAATTATTTGTTTCGACGTAATGATTTAAACATAGATTACATTTGAGATAATGTCTCACTTTAATTTCATAAAAAAATTTTTTTTAATTTTGTAGCAGTGAAAATTTCATAAAATCCTGAAAATTCCTAGCACTGAAAATTCTTTAATTCCAAAATTGTACAATTTTGCAGTTTTTCTTCTGATGTGATCCTATCAGCTGATATAGAAATATCACTCGGTTTTAAGTTCATGAACTTGGCAAGGAAACAATGAGTTTTAATTTACTTATTTAACATATTCACATGAATTTTAATGAACCTACAACATATGGAGTAGCAAAGCAATTGACCTGGTAGTTTTAAAGAAGAAGTTGAAAATAACAATGTTCACAAAAAATTGCAAAAATATTCCCTAAAAATAGAGAATAGAAGATATCAACACAAAATGAACAAATTTGACCTAGGTCCACCCAAGGTACATGTACCTACATACTATCGGTAAGTATCTAAGCAATTCAGCTAGTAATTTACAAGAAGAAGATAAAAATGTAATTGCTGACAGACGGATGATGGACGGACGAACGACAGACAACGAATAGAAGATGGCAATTACCTATACATTTGTATGAACAGCTCATCTCTGACAACTAAGATGACAATGAAGCTACAATCAGGAAGTTTATACAGTTGATGCATCACAACTTGGTAACAAGTTGAATAAATATAGTTCATAGTTCATCTTGTGTTGCGCACTATCACGCCCATGACAGCCAAGCTACCAGAAAACACAAACTCAGCTATTGTTTGAACTGATAAAGTTGCTCAACTTTTTGTTGAATGTTACTTACCCATGTGTTTGCTGTTGATTGTCTAAATCAAAATGTAATCGTGATAGCTTTTCTTGTAAATCTCTGACATTATCCATATGCCCAAAAGAACACTCCTTACCTATTGGGTGCAATGGATACAATATTTGTCAGTTAATTTTTTTAATTTTATTTAATAAATGAATTATTTTTGAATTTGTCTGTGTCGCCTGGTAAATTTGACGCCATTGAGTTGTATTTTTATTGTGTAATTAGAACATTTTATAGATTGTCAGACGCAGTGCAGTGATTTGTGTGGATGTGCTTTTTGCATACACTATACTAACAGGGATAGCCGTAACGGAGTTATAAAACTTATTTTTGCTCCTGAGTGAATGCATTTGACATGCAAGTATCACGTGAACACTTCGTGGAACGGATGACGTCAACGTAGTGAAGACGGGGGAACAATGGCTGCTCGTTAATGTGGAACCACGCCGTCTCGAGTTGACTGGTTGAAACGCGGCCTGAACCGATCAGCACGACCAGAAAAGGCCATCGCCGATGGGACTGTGAGTTGAAGTCCCTGCTGAGTGACAGGTACCTGTGGGGCCTGAGTATTTCGAGTCGAACGACTGGTAGAAGCAGTTGTGGGCGAGTGAAGTG